GCAAATGATATTTTTATTGTTTAATAAACAAAAATCGAAGAAATATTTTTTTTTTTTTCAAAAAAGAATATTATTTTACAAAGAGAATAAGAAAATCCAAATGCTGAACTTACAAAATCCTTTGAAAAAACCAAAAATGCTGGTTCAAACCAGGGGCGCCATTTTACGTGGCGTCAATGTGATATTAAATTCAGGAAAAGAGTGAGCCATAATTATTTTTTGAAAACATCAAAACAAAGATGAAATACACAAATACTATGGGACTTGTACAAATAAATCAGTTGTTTATTTTTAATTATTTTTCAAGATGCTCTTTATATAATAAAAAAAGATTTTTATTAAAATAGCGAGCATTATTTGAGATTCTCTAAGATTGCAATATCCACGCAAATGATATTTTTATTGGTTAATAAACAAAAATCGAAGAAATATTTATTTTTTTTCAAAAAAGATTATTATTTTACAAAGAGAATAAGAAAATCCAAATGCTGAACTTACAAAATCCTTTGAAAAAACCAAAAATGCTGGTTCAAACCAGGGGCGCCATTTCCATTGGTTTGTAGCAATTAAAATAAAAGAAAAAAAAACCCTCAAAACTGTCTAAACGTTGCTGTATTATTTGACCCAAAATTTGCAATAAGGCACACTGCTGACCAAAAATTGCATTGCAAACTGTCTTGAACTGACTTTTTTGGCTTTTTTGAATAAAATATTTCGACGCAAAGATTCGCTATGCGTAAGCATGTCAAAAGTTTGACGAAATGATTTAAAGGCAAAGAGAAAACTCCAAACTTAATTGTCTAAACAAAAACGAACTCATCCTTACTGATAGAAACAATTAAAACTCTTATTCAAATAAAAAACTCCCAAATTCAAACAAACATGCTGAGCCTCCTGCTTGATCGTAGGAATTCATTTTAGAATAATAAATTGATAGAGAATGTCTGAAAACTACATCATCACAATTCAAATATGCCCATTTCATAAGTGAACGAGCAAATAAATCTATTTACAAGCATGTCGACGTATAAAAAAATTATGTTACTCATTGAAGTTTGATATTATTGACATCAAAATGGGTTAGAATATCTGATTAATTACGTTACGCACTCGCCAATGTTGAAGTTTCATGAATAGTAACTTCATTTATATTTGAATCCTCAATGTGAACATGTTTAACCATTAGCTCATGCTATACTTCTACTTGCTTTGATCACGCAAGCCCCTGTAGTCAAAATTACTTATAAATAGGCACAAGAATTTCAAGTAAATGGCCCAGAAGTAGGTGACTTAAATGATAAATTAGTCAACTAATTACATGAAATCGCTGTTGTACGTTATTACAGGTCATTAAAAGATATAGTAGAGACAAAGAGCATGTTTGGCTGAGCTCAAAAGTAGAAAAGAAGTTATTTTTTAGCTTATTCAAGCATTATCTAATTATGTTGATTTTGTAAATTGTTCACACTTCAAATCTTAATAATTGAATTAACTGGCATCTAATTCATTGATTTTATGAGCAATAATTATGTAAACATGTGGATTATTTGTTTAGACCACGTATTACAAATTGG